AGTATGATGTAAAATACAAAAGGTAAATGCCAAAAACCTCATCTTCCCATGAAGGCAACACGTGGATATTATTCACCAAACCGGTTTCTATCATTACATGATAAGATTTGTTTGTTTGTTGTTTAACGCCGCAAAATATGACGGCGGTCTGTAAATAATCGAGTCTTAACATGACAAACCAGTGATAGATACTGTGAGTGATAATCAACGCCATGGGGGTACATTGACACATACTACTACTACTACTACTACTACTACTACTACTACTACTACTACTACTACTACTAATACTAATACTAATACTTCTACTACTAATACTACTAATACAACTAAGGCTATTTCTATAGTGCAAGATTCCTCATCACCGAGGGACATGCTCAATGCGTCTCACAGCATATCTACATATATACAACAGAGAGGGAACAGTAAGATAATACAAATATACACAAACAGTTGTAGCGTTCCAAAAGTTACGTTTTGAGACCAGACGTAAACATAGTGATATCAGGTGCATCTGTTAGGCTAAAGGGAAGGGTGTACCATAGTCAAGGTACAACAAGTCAAACGCTTACTCAAATGCTTAAACATTTACTCTTGGCATTTATCTCACATAGACCCTTGTTTACCTCTTCTAATTTACATGTTTGCAACTGCACAACAGCCATGTTGTCTCCTAGCGGATACAGCAGCAGGTTCTGCGTAAGGACGCTCTTACCCTAGAAGGATGATCCGACTCTACAACGTCTCCATCTTCCCTAGAAAGGTACCCCATTTTACTCCGAGTCATGACACGCCCTTCACCGGTGTCAGCCAGCACTCTACTAACCACTCGGCTTTCTCTTATCTGCCTGTCTTATTCAAAGATTGTTATATCTCCAGCTGTTTATCCGAGTCAGGTACAGGTTATTAAAGTTTCGTTACTTTGTCTTCTTCATTGTTTCAACTTATTCTGATATAAATTTACGATTTACTGCTCTTTATATTTACTTTTACGGGAAACACAAGCAAAGTGTCTATGAAATACGTCGACGACCAAGATAGCATGGAGATTTTGTAGTTTTGATAGCGGTACTGTTATGGCATTCGAAATTCATTGCTGATTTATTATTCACTGGGTAAATATTTATCCCATATTACAACAATAACTATTTGATAATCATGAAACGTCAATTATCTGCCGAAACAGATTCCATTGGGCGTAAATGGCAAAATAACTGTGAAAATTATATGATTGGATCACAGAGAAAGGATCATTAAGAAGGTTCTCACGTGGCTGATGAAACAATAGACACAAAGGCTCTATCAACGCAGGTTTTGTCTTAGTCATATCAGTTGATAAGGTGTCTGTAAATATAAATAAATTCAGGTAAATGTTAGAGTCGACTGCAGGCATGTAACACCGATTCGGAAACGTAAGATTCGGGGATCATATTGACGAAAATATACATACTATCAACAAATATCCACGAAGAACAGATTACAGTCGAACCTCGTGGTGTCGAACCTGGATATGTCGAACTCCCGGCTCTCTCGAACTCACCTTCCCGTCCCTACGAATTCCTTCTTTATTTCTCATCATTCGAACACAGGTATGCACATCACGACCTTGTTTTAAAGCGAGGTTGCACGTCACGTCACTTACAAGGACCTTCGTTATTGATGTTTCTCATTGAATGTACAGACCTACCACAGAACGCCAACAGGCGTTAAATGTATAGATATCTTCATGACATTTGTCTATTTTGCACACTAAATTATAAGAGTTGACAATATATTCGAAAACAACAAGTTAGCAGCAGCTGGAATGCATATGGTCGTTTTCTGAATATATTGGCGACTCGTAGCCAGCTCAGCTCATAATTTCAGTGTGCAAAATGTACTCATATTTCTGGTTGTCGATTTTTAGTGTGAAAAAATAACAAATAGCAAACATTTTCATATTTTTTAACACAAGTTAGTATTTTCTTTGGTAGGCCTGGTATATATAGGATGTCAATAAACATTGTTTTCAGAAAAAATATCATAATTTCCATTGCAAATTTTAGAATACAAAATCATACAAATGTTAATATATTGTTTGGACAATTTGGCAGTGCAGAGTCAAACTAAAGTAAACTCATATGCTCCTGCTATTTCACCTTAATAATCCAATTGCATTACAACTCAATATTCCAAATGTATTAAACCCTTAATCACTGTCAACCACGACATGGCTTCTAAAGACACCGTCCAATGACAAGAGCGTTGTTGTGTAGAGCCTAACTCACAATACATGTTCCTCTTTGAAATTCATGTTGGTTCTATTTTAATAGTTTATCAGCGTCCGTGTACAAAGTATGTCAAGTGCAAAGATAACGCCCTAACCTAAACAATGTATAAGTGGGGATACAGGCATGTTAGTCCCTTCATGTAAAACCAACACGCACTCTCTGACCAGTACCATATCCAGTAATGTTAAAGGGTACAGCCGACATAACAACTGTTACCAAACTACGTCACTTAAGTCAAATATGCCGGTCCATTCGGCTTATATGCCGTTACCTACATAATCCCGTCATAATAATTTCACTACACCGACACCTTCGTATACGTTCGTATATTATTACGGCCAATTCATTTTGAGAAAAGTGTTTGTATGGTTGATAGACGTTAGGTAAATAATTATAACGCGACATGTATATAAGAGTCTCGGTTGTCGACAAATTGTGTTGTGTAACGTGATAGTTACGTGAACTATTGAAACTAGTGAAACCAATATGGATTCCACAAAATACTGCCCGAGATAAATAATAGGACTGAGATTACCCGGGTGTGAAGCAAGGTACCTCGCCAGAAATCCGTTAAATAATAGGGTCACCCTGAAGTGAATTCTTAAAACTTTGAAATATGTCACAACAGGTCGTATTATCTGTATCACTGAAGGTCACTCAAACTGATACTGGGAAAGGACGAGCAATGTTAACAATTTTCATGACCTTATCAGTGATGTGACCTTTCAGGCTAACCGTATGCGGGTGTGTTAAAACGAGTTCATATGAGACATGGAGTGATAAAAGAAATAAGATAAAGCAACATGTATCAACGCTAACATCTTCAATTATTTTTCAACCATGTGAACGTCAATTCCTAAATAGGTATGGAAGTGTTTTTCAAATGGTGAATAGCCAACCTGCCTAAATCGATGCCTGACATACATATATCAAAGGATGCAGAGAAGGATCAATGAATGATGCTGAGCTAGCTTGGGCATACTGGTGCTATCCCTAGAATTGTGAACACGGTAAACGATACTATTAAGCTTGCGTACGTTAAGGGGCGCGTCCAACTGTTATGTGTCGACTTTGCGCCATAGGTTGTCCAGCAACTCATCCACGTAACTAAATACATTCTCCTGAGAGATTGAGACCATAAAAGCGTCCTTGATATTTCACAATACAGACGCCTGGCTCTATCAAGGCAGTTCCTTGTATAGAATACAAAAATGTAAATCTGAGTTGGCGATCTCGAATACAGGCCTCCCTCTACTACCACCCTGATTACAACAGTTCACAGTTACTTGTGTAAGTATATCATTTTATCAGAATGTGGCATAACCTGCAACAGGATACGTATTGTCAGCCGAAACCTGCTCAGCGTGTGTATACTTTCAACCATATTTATGAACCTCCTCTCCGCGCGTGCAAATAGTCAAATGGGTTTTTTAAACGACATTTATCTTCAAACTCATCAAGTGCAGCTTGTCTGATATTTTACACATAATTATGAAGGAATACTTGCTTTCACATATATTAAAGTTTGAATACAGGTAAAGGGACTTGTTAGGACAGTTACACACAAGGAGAAGTCATTTATTGTCTTCTTGTATGGTGTTTTTTATAGGTCATTCTAATTTGTTTACTTAGGAGGAGGGGACTCGACGATGACATGCAACCGAGATATCTACTAAAGGTGTATCTATACAGTCGTCACAACAGACAACAACCACTCTTGAAATCATCTATCAAACTCTTGAGCTGAGTAAAAGGCTTCTGAGATTACCCGGCACAAAACGCCGTATTCACCTCAATAGCCCCTTCCCTTCAGATATCTCGAATCCTCAGATACCAAGGAATCCCCGTGTCTAGACATCTGTGCAATGACGATAGAATGACAGGTTAAGAATCAATAACGTCTAGATATATAATTTGACCTGAAAAAGTATTTTGCGAAGTCAGGCGAAATGCATTAGTTGAATGATACGTGTAGTCCAAGAAAGGTAGAAGTCAAGTTACTTATCAACGAAAGTCTGAGATGGTGTGGGCATGTTCAGAAAAAGTATATCTTCTTATCTCAACTTGCAGTGGTTAATCATGGGTTTTAAAGGTACTAAGATAAAAAGGACGACGCTAACTTGATATTAACCCACTGTGGATGTCATTTAATGTACAAATAGTCGAACCAGCAACATACAGTTGGTTATGCATGCTTTACAATGAGAAAACATTGGACGGTGTCCATTGCTTTACATCATCAGTATGTGTCCCATGAATATAAAACGTCAATGGAAGGACATCACAGCTCTCTATTATCCCACGAAACAGATTCCGTCGGGCGTTAAAGGCAAAATAGCGGTGAAAATTATAAGAATGGACCACTATGGCACATGCTGACATACAAATGTAAGCAATTTCTTACCTCAGAATCTTCAAATCAAAAGATATTTTACTGACCTATTAAAAGTATAGTTTTAATACAGGTTATCTGAACAGTGATAACATAATCTTTATGGCTGCTCCTGACAACGAGCTTTTGTTCATTGATATTTTGGTCATTAGGGTAAACAAGTTAAAGGTGGTTTTAATGTTCAAGAAGAGGTTATATGTAGGGGGTTGAATCGTCCAGTTGTGACAAGGAAGTGCCACAGAGTCTATATCACAATTATTTCATCACAGGACAAGTATTAATCCGGAGCAAGATATGGTTAAATTACTGATATTGTGTGACCAAATATACTGTCCTACCTGTCCAGACTGATGATTCTCTTCATGTTCCACGTCAAAGAGTATTTCTTCGTCGAAGAAACTTAAATGTGTTGCAAAGCCACTCACTGATCTCATGGTGAGCGAAATGACCCAACACAACAGCAGTACTCCTCACGTTCAGTAAAGCACACGATACCAAGACTTTGCAATTACCCACAATTCTGATTGGACTGTCAGACCGTGTGTATAATATGTACTATAATGTGGATGTTTTCACGTTACCTCTAGTCATTGTCTTTTGTTTACTCCATTACACCAAACATTTAACTCGAACAATGCTAGGGTAATCTTACTCGTGGCCGATTGGTTGTAGTGGCAGAACTGGAGGCAGGGGCTGATGTATCTCTTGTGTCGGGTTGCGTTACGGTCTGGGGACCGGGTTGACTTTCAGGTCGAGTAGTGCGTAAGTGATACGTCTTCTTCGGGTGGGTCTGGTAGAGGATGGAGAACGGTGCTTATGCCCGAACGAATCAACGAGGACTTCTGAGGTCAGTGTACTGTGTCTTATGACACATTTCATATAGGTTGAATGAAAGTACAAATAATTCGATGGAATGTACTATACCATTTATTTGGTGCAGCTGTATAAGGTTAGACTTCAATGGCAAAAGAGTTGGACACCTGTCTTGGACGGGAATCAATGGCCTTGTTGCAAAGTTTATAAATAATTGGCATGACTACGTCCCCATACATGCATAGTTATCTGACGAGGTTATTTTGAAATACAATACAAAACGCCAACGCCAACGCCAACGCCAACGCCAACGCCAGAGAATGACCAGTCTCAATTATCTGATGAAACAGACCTCACTTGACGTATAAGGTAAAATAGCGATGAAAACAATGTAAATGGGTCATTGAAAAACAGTAATAACACCAGGTGTTCGTGAAGGAAATATAAACTTCTTATGTGCTGTGGTCTATGAACGACTGGAAATAACGACACCATCCTCCATTAAGGATGTACTTTGTAATAACAGCTGCCTTGTGTATTTCAGTCTTGGTTGTTGGGGGGCGGTCGGGTAGCCTAGTGGTTAAAGCGTTCGCTCGTCACGCCGAAGACCCGGGTTCGAATTCCGACATGGGTACAATGTGTGAAGCCCATTTCTGGTGTCCCCCGCCGTGATATTGCTGGAATATTGCTAAAAGCGGCGTAAAACCATACTCACTCACTCACTCACTTGGTTGTTGGCTAACCATTTCATATTCAGTTGCATATGAGGAAGCTGTGGGTTCGGTTGGTAATTAGATGTAAGATAGTGATGCTACGTCCACGCGTAAATTAGGACCGCGCATTCACATACCATTTTAATCTCTCTATATATTTTAAATATGAGATAAAATAAGCACAGTAACGAATTATACCGTACACGTTAGTTTAAACATTGCCAAATGCAATAAAATGCAATAATGTTGCCTTATTTATTTACTGTGTAAACAAACCATGAATTCATGTGCATCCTTCAAATTTAAAGATATTGTGGTCTCAAAGTTTCTCATGGGTCACGGGTGGCTTAATGACCAAAGGAGGGGCAACTCGCTGTATAAAATCTCCAACCTACTAAGCTCGACTGATCTTGGGTTCGATTCCGAAAATCAATAAATGCTTTGTCAGCAACGTACCTGTCCTCGCGAGTGTCACTAAAGATATTTTGTTTGTTTGTGTGGTGTTTGATGCCAGCTATACGGCGGCGGTCTGTAAAAAATCGAATCTGGAGCAGACAATCAAGTGATTGATATCATGAGCATTTATCCACTCAGTTGGGATATGATGACATGCATCAACAATGTCTTTGATCCTGACCACCCGACCCCGTTAGTAGCCTCTTACGACAAGCATAGTAGCCTCTTACGGCACTCATGGGTTGCTTAAGACATATTCTAACCCGGATCTTCACGAGTTCACTAAAGAGTTAGGTCTCGATTACCTTTGTCACCTTTGGAGTTGTCCCCCACATTAAGCTGCTCCTTAACATGAATAAAATAGTTTAAAAACGGCGGTACCCAAACCCAATTAAATTGGACGCAGTGAGCGATGATATTCCAGCTTTATGTCAAGTAACTGTAAATAATCTGGAGTCTGGACCAGGCACACCAGTGAATCAAAGCATACACAACGATCAACACTATCAACCAATGGCACGCAATAAGCCATATCACAGTGCCTGTCTATTCATTGAAGCCTACGACAAGAATGGGGGACCCGGAAACCTCATTAAAGATAATATTGTGTGCAAGATCCGACTTTAAATAAATTTCCGTGTCAAAGAAAGTATACACTTGAATTTGAAACTGGATTTAACCCAAAAATTACAAACGTTATGAAAACGTCGCCAAGCTGAATGCAATCGCCGAAACAATGCAAACGTATGGTCCAAAAACGCAGTTATGATACCCTTATCCGACACATCACCATCGAATAACCATTGCTTGTTCGTTTCATTTTTAACCACCATCAACCATGGGTGAATCCTTTCATTTGCCCGGAAGTTTACTTATTTGTAAGAGGCGACTAACGGGATCGGGTGGTCAGGCTCGCTGACTTGGATGATGCATGTCATCGATCCCAATTGCGTTGATCGATGCTCATGATGTCAATCACTGGAATGTCTGGTCAAGACTCGATTATTTACAGACCGCCGTCATATAGCTGGAATATTGCTGAGCGCGGCGTTAAACAACAAACAAACGTATTTGTTCAAGTATCCACATTTCCTACCAAAAACACTATTATAATCATGCAAAGTCACAAGGTGACTTTATATAGCAGACACAGCAGGTACAAGGATGTAGAATGTTAAATCTAAATAGATGTCAAAGCTGACATTCGTCAAGTATTTGAAATGAATGGCTATTCCACATATCTAATCAATTCATATTGAACTGTTTTTGCTGTGAGCTCTTAGCCGAGGTCAGATCACCCGAGGAAGGCATGTATATAGGTAAGCTGTATTTCCTGGCAAATGTAATAGCGATAACGCCAAGGCATTTGCCGCTTGAACCAACAGACTGAAATGATCTAAGCGTTTACACTCAGTTCAACCCGGTCATTACAAGTATGGTAAGTATCAATGTAATGAGTGAGTGAGTGAGTTAGGTTTAACGCCGCTTTTAACAGTGTTCAAGTTATACCACGTCGTGTCAGCTTAAAGTGGGAGAAAAGCCCGAAGTCATGCAGGTCTTAGACGTGTTCCACTTTGGTGAAACCCACGAACATCGGTACCAAGAAAACTAAGCGGGGTGAACCGGCTTTCGAACCCGCGATCATAGGTTTCTGGCGTGCCAAAGGGACGCAACTCTGCACAGTTAATTGGAGCATCCGTGTCCCCATTTACTCTTGTAGTTTCTTTGGTGTAAGTATTGATGCTTGTGGAACATATGAAATTGGATTTGACAAAAACATTACGAACGTTATTAAAAGGCTGAAAACAATCGCCGAAACACTGCGAACCTTAGGTCCCAAACACAACCATGATACCCGTACCAAATACATCACCACCGAATAACTATTCTTTGTTTCATTTTTAGCTACCGTCAAACATGGGTGTATACTTTCTTTCGCCCAGCAGTCTAGGTGGTGGTGATCATAAGTCACATATGTTTCAACATTAGGGGATACACATTCTAATACGCTTCATGTAATACGTGCTGCAGCTAACTATAAAGGCATACACCTTTTCACAAAACACATATACGTTAACATAACATTAGTCTAAAACATGGATGATTCTCAAGAACATACCTGCATTATCCACTGTAAAAACCATGTATCCGTGTAACATATACAAGTCGGTAAATTAAACGTCATGAGATCCAGGGGCCGTATACATATAAAGATGGATGGCAGTGAGAAGGCCCCAAAGAATGTGGTCCAACCTTTCCACCCTGTATAAATCAAGTGACCAGTGTCCAACATGGGGTCAACTGGACAGCGCCAAAGGGCGATCCGATATATGACACGCAAGAATGAATCCATGGCCTTCAGATTAATAACAAAATTGCAGGTTGTCCAGAGATCCATTACGCTTAGCCCTACATCTTGAATGTACATACTGATGAAAAGAATGGGAGGATGTCGGGGAAAACAGATTTTTATTCGGAATTATTTTATGGGCCAAAATGAAATCCACAGCATATTCGCCAGGGCAGGGAGCACATAAATCGTATAGTGAAAATATCCATTCAACATAATCCTAATTTGTGAGTATATATGCCAGCTATATGAGTGCGGCCTGTAGATAATCGATTCTGGACCAGATAATCGATTTCGTGAGGAACGATTTACGCCGCCGTGGTACGATGACACGCAAATCACCGAGCTTGACCACCCGATCCATCTGGTAGCCTCTTACGACCAGCATAGGCTGTTGGGACTAATTCTAACCCGAAAAAACCCATGGTCCTGATTTTGGAATTTAATCATTTTGTAATGGAACAAAGCAGTAGCATTAATTTTTATTTTTTCTCTGTTCCCTTATTTGTTGTTGTCAGTACATGTACGCTTACCATATAATATACATGTATGTAGCAACTGTTTCGTTCTTAACTGTGACATTAGTGATGCAATATCATGTTTGCTGCCATATAGTGATATCGCTTGTTGATAGAACATCCGTGACATGTAATCGGCAATGTAAAAGCTTGTAACCAATAGACCATTGCGCCACTCAGGATAAGTAACTCGAATAATGTTAAGCACCAACCCTTCACAGCCCGAAATGCCATGTAACCACTGCGATGTATCAACTAATATAGCATCTTCCCGAGGTAAGGGAGTTAACTGTTTATAAAAGTCCAGTTTCCACCCTTGCCAAACTAGGCTGGAATTTCGTGGCTCGATGGTTGCGCAACCAGTGGCTATTACGAGTTGTGTCTCTTCTAAGTCCCTCCTAATGACATATCAGATTCCACCTATCATATTGCATGTACTTGCATTTGCTTCAAACAAAATAGTGGCGCCCAGAGAAGACGATCTGATTGATAAACAGGATCCATATTGTAATACAACGGGTCTCACCTCGCGAAGTGCATCGAATTACTTTAACACCTTGATTTAAGATTTGGAAAAATTACCGAGTTTGGTTTCTGTATTTCATATTGTAAATTTGTAAACAAGCAAATGTATTTCCTCAGAATATTTATACATGATACAATTTTTTTTTTAAAAGGCCATTTTGTTTGCATATATATTGCCTCGGAATGGCGTTTTGAAGCGATACACATAAGGAATAGAATGTATGGATGTCAGCTTCTTTATTATGAGGAACACAACCTTTCGGAGTATATATTTACCTGATAAAGGAGTAAGCATATTCTCC